GGGAAAGAAGAGGGTGTGACGAACTGGGACTGTTCTTGCTGGGGTGTGGGAATGCTGACAGGCGAGTGTGGCTAGGATGGTCTGCATCGGGGGATGGGAGTCTGCCCGAAGGCGCATACCTGAGCTTGTAACATGAGAACCCAGGAAGGGGTTGAAGGCCAGGTGACTCCTTGGCCCGGGAAACTGAACAAAGGCTGTGGGAGGGGTCGCTGAAGGCAGAGTGCTGGAAGCGGGCTGGAGAGATGGCTGGGAGGCAGAGATGGCTCTGACCCCCCCCCAAAGGGGGGTGGGCTGGGATGTCCTGGGACCCCAAGCTGGACTTAACTGAGGGGGTCCTGCTGTCTGTGCCTGCAAGACCTGTCTTGGACTGTATTCCTGTCATCCAAATAAACCTTCTGCTTTACTGGCTGGCTGAGAGTCATGGTGAATCGCAGGAAGCCGGGGGTGCAGGGCCCTGAGTCCCCCAATACTCCGTGACAGAGGGTACTTAGAGGTGGCAGCAGGGGATGGAGGGAAATGGTTCACTCTAGTGAGGAAACCAGGGGACATACAAACCCCTTCAGGCAAAGAACTCATCCCTAGGGAGAGATCAGTCACGCTCCACCGGCATGACAGCTGGGACGAATGTGGCCCCATAGCCATGTGCAGCAAGTTACTTGGGCAAATGACTGAAGCAGAGTCTAGGCGCGTTAGATGGACTCTGTTTCTGGAAAGGATGGAGAGGCCTGGCGCAACAGTTTTTTCCTTCTCCGAAATAGTCTTGTTTACACAGCCCTGTGCCCTCCCAGAGCTGGCACACTCTCAGGAACACACACGTATGGTCCCTCACCCACATGCAAAGGCAGGCCTCTCTACTAACTATACATCCAGCACCACTGAAATGCAGCCATTTCTGGGGTGGAGGGTGGACAGAACAAAGCACAACAGTAGGGGCATGCTGGCCTAGAGTGCCAGGTCACTCCCTGCTCTAACAAACAGGGCGATGGCGTCTTCAGTGTCCATGCAGGGCGGACAGGGCACCTGAGGAAAGCTGAGCTAACTGCTGGGGTCTCACCCTGGTTTGGGGTGGCAAGGTGGGGAGTGGAACACTCCCTCTTACATAGGAAAAAGCAATCATCGAATATCAGGGTTGGAAGGGACCTCAGGAGGTCATCTAGTCCAACCTCCTGCTCAAAGCAGGACCAATCCCCAGACAGTTTTTTGCCCCAGATCCCTAAATGGCCCCCTCAAGGAGTGAGCTCACAACCCTGGGTTTAGCAGACCAATGCTCAAACCACTGAGCTATCCCTCCAATCAAATGACAATGCTGAGCACTTCTACAATCCCTCCACACAGGGAGCTGACAATACCTTACAAACATTCACCTGCTAAGCTCCCTCCCCCACTGTGGGGCAGGATCACTATCCTCATTTCACAAATGGGGAAACTGAGGTACAGAGTGGGGCAGTGACTGTCACGGAGTCCCCGGGCGATGCTCTGGAACTGCTCCCCACAAAGCCAGTCAGGACTCTGGGGAGCCTCCTCTCCCTTGGAGCAGACTGTCTTCAGGGCAAGGAGCTCACACGGCTTCACCTCCTGGGTCTCTACTGGGAGCATTCAGCATATGCCCCTCCGTGCGCTTCCCACAGTGAGTCCGCCCAGGCGGGGTCCTGGGGAAGCCAGAGGGTCCTGCACCCCCCACTTTGCAGTCAGAAGTGACTTTTAGCCAGCCAGTAAAACAGAGGTTTATTAGATGACAGGAACACGGTCTAAAACAGAGCTTGTAGGTACAGAGAACGGGATCCCTCAGCCAGGTCCATTCTGGGGGGCAGCGAGCCCGACACCCACATCTGCCCTTACTCCCCGTCCCCAGCCAGCTCCAAACTGAAACCCCCTCCAGCCCCTCCTCTGCTGAGTTCCTTTCCCAGCCCAGGAGGTCACCTGACCTCTTTGTTCTCCCACATCTTTGCAGGGGGGAAGGGCCTGGCCATTAGTTGCCAGGAGACATTGTGTCAGTGATTTATGCACACTGGCCTTTATCCCACCTCCTAGAGACTTAAGAAATGCATAGGGGAAACTGAGGCACCCACACAGTATTCAGAGGAAACATTAAGAACAGTCCCACTTCGTCACAGTGACTCGCCCAAGGTCTCCAGGGATCAGTGGCAGAGCCGAGTCTAGGAAGAGCACAGTGTCCTGACTCCCAGTCCGGTGACCTCAAGACCATGCTGCCTTTATGAGCCCTATCAGCACAGCAAGGGGTGGGGGTGGGGGCGGGCAGAGCCATGGTCCCAGGCAGCCTGCAGCAGCTGTTTGTAGCGATACCAGAAGCGCCTGCCGTCCCAGCTCCTGAGCTCGCTCCATTTGCAGAGCATAACTAACCCCCGCATCCCTGGCCCTCGGGTCTCCCCTGCGAGGGTTCAGGCCTG